CCTTTTTTACTTATTTTTTCCCCTTTCTTCTCGGTTGAGATTTTGAGCTAATCCAGCAGTGAGGTAGTTGGGGCTGTCATTTCACAGGTTGGCAGTATGCCTTATCTGTGTTTTGTCCAATTTATGGTAAGATTTGTTTTACTCAAAGCAAGTGAGCTGTATCGGTTCATGTTTTAGATGTGTTTCTCATATTTTCTTCTAATTCTGAAGATGGACAATGTTGTCTTCATAGTTTATTATTTCATTCCAAAGTTGCACCAATTCTACTTAAGACACTGTGTGATGAGCCCTTGTTAGTCTTGAAATTTGTATGATAGGCAAGATGAATCATGGCTTCATTGAAATAAATTCAGTATGGATTAACTTTATTTTTCAGAGCTGTTCTTCTGTGATCTACTCTGTTTGATACAGATTTTTTTTTTATTTTAAATTGGGTTGGTTATGTTTTTCACCACTTTCTACCCCCAGTCTGCAGGAACAATGTCAACACTATGGCTGTTTGAAAATATCTGCCACCCCTAGCACTTGGCTTCTCTTGACAACAGATCTTTTGGTTTAGTTTGTTTTGTTCTTTCTGCCCCATGTGGGGAAGATATTCTTTATCAGCATTACTGTCTTCACAACAGTTGTTCATATTTAAGATGAATTTTGGAAATATTATCTGAACACATGTAAGGTGAAAGTGAAACCACATGCACATGTTTTGGAACAGATGTCACCAACATGATAAAACTTCCTCTAGAAGTGAGCTGCGTACATTTTTTAAAAAATTATTTTCACAGCCCTTTGTCACTTTTCTGTAACTTACAATGTCTTCGTGAAACAAAAGTCAATTGTGTAATTTTTTTTCTTTTATTCTTTTAACATGTTCACTTCCATAGCATTTGTGGAAATACAAAACAGACTTGATTGATTATATTAGTTGCCAGAATGGAAGATTTTTTTTTTCTCTTCCCTTCTGGAAGTATTTGTCCTTACTGGCCTTTTGCAAGTTTTAAAGTTTATACTGTTACGGTTTAGGTTTCAGGACTCATTTTGAATGATCAGATTAGATAATTTGTTATTTAAATTTAGGTTTTGGCCTGTCAGTGTCTCAAAGTCCAATAAACATAATTTTGTTCGAAATTATTCTCTCTTACTATACAATATAATTGGTGTAAAATACTCGAGTAAATATTTATTTGAGAGCAGATTCAGCTTAATTTTATATCTTAAAAACTGCAAATGTGTTGACTTGGTTAAAACTGTGACAGCATCTGGCAGTCATTTCAGCAGGTGTTTGCATGAGGATATTAATATTGTACACACACTCCTCCAAATTTGTTTATTGACTTTTATGCTTCTATCATCAACAAATGTGATTATAATGCTTTTTATGAATGTTATTAGCTGATACAGTTACACTTGAAAATTAGGTTTTTCTGAATATTTAGTAAGCACTGAGGTTCTGTATTTTAAAAGTGATTTTCCTGCTTTAAAGGAGGTGTATGTTTAAGTGGTCTTTAGGGGAGGATTTTCAAAATACAGTTCTTGGAAGTCTCAGGCTGTTTTAATAGTTGTTGCACTGCTTTCTCAGGGAAGGGTGATGTGCAGTCTTGAAGTGCTACTTGGTGAACAGTGTTTCTCTGAAGTATTTCTTGCACTGTACCTGGTTTAGACTGTTCAGAGCTTACAGGGAGCATTTGGAAGACTTAAGGCAAGCACCAAGGCTACTGCTGTAATGGATCACTCAAGGCCTTCAGGTTTCCTGGATATGTTTCACTTGACAGTAACTACACAGGCTGCATTTGGAAAAATACTATCAGCTGTTGTTCCTGAAGTGTCACAAGTCTGTGCAGAAGCCTCTCAGAAGTGTGGCAAAAACTAATGGTGAGAAAGACATCACCTAAACTCACCTGACTGTGAGTTTACCTGACTGTGTTACCCTTCTGTAGCCACCACATACCTGTGTGCAGTTAGCAGCAGGGCCAGACCAGGAGGATCTTGGTTCCTGAAGCACTTTTCTCACTGTGAGCCACTCTAACGGTACATCAGCCTCTGGCACGATCTGTTCTGTGTGCACTGCTGCACGGAGCAGTGCCCTGGGCAGCCTTCATGCTTTCCCCAGGATCCTTCTCTCGTGTTCCTTGCTGTTTGAATGGGAAATGGAAGATTTTAATTCTTCTGATGCCTGCTGTGATTGTAAGTGAATGTGTGCACATCCTTAATGTCATCTCTGCTAGAAAGGTGATCTTTGAGCAGGACTCCTGCCATCCTTATAAACCCACTGCAAGGAAATGAATACAGTTCTCTTCTGCTTAGCCAGTCCTTCAGAGTTTCAGTCAAACTGACTTCTACTTCCATTTTCCCTCCCAGGCTTTTGCCTTCTCTTTCCAGCAGTAATATGTTTTATCCTTTGTGGCCTCCACAGGTTTATTTCTGAAGACCTGATTAGGGTTTGTCTGTGCCCTTTTCATCACCTACTAAAGGATCAAAATTCTGTGCTTTGTTTTTTATTTTTCCTTTTTTTTTTTCCTCTGTTATATTTGCTTATTATGCTTTTGCTGTGTTTCATGTGGTGATTTTGAACTATTGTACCAACCATCCAGAACGGGGAAAAACCCAACTGTCCTGACAGTCATCTTGTGTCTTCAATGCAAAACAGTGGAGCAGTGGGGGCTGAAAACATATGACACTGAAAGTCCCTGGGTAACATGCTTCTGGGGGACATTAGCAACAGAAATTGTAATTACTGTATCAAATCTAAATAGAAATAAGGGGTGCAAAGGGCTGCAGTGTTTGGGTGTTGTGCTGTGGGAGCGCCTTGGGGCTGGTGGTGATGCCTGAATTCCTCCTGGCATTGCTGGCTTTACACCCACCCCACTCCTTTTGTGCTCTGGTGTGCAGGGTAAGGCTGGGAACTCTCCTGTAGCAGCTTCTCTCTTCTGCCTGCTGATATCTTGTTAAATTGGCAGGGTATTTCCTCCCTGGAGATGAAAAGAAATGGCAACTGCATCATGAGCATGCAGTGGATCTGCTCTGAGGTCAGTAATCTCCCACAGGCATGCGATGCCAAGGCTGGGCGAGACACTCCTTCATAGGAAATACACTGCAGTTCACCTATCAGTGTCCTTTAGGGTTTTTGCATAATTCATAAATTCTTATGCTTCATAGGCGGAGGAGTGTTCAGATGCTAGTGAGGTGTGCCCTTTAAGCAGCAGATGGGGAGAGTGAGCTACCCTCTAGCTGAAGTTACAAATTCGGCTCTGTTTTAGAAAGTCGTGGGTCTTGGTAGAAGTTTCATAGTTCACTTCTCTCCTTTAAAAACCTGTGCTATTGCTGCAAAAAGGGGTTGTGGTTCTTCCTGGTCAGATGGTCTTGTCCTCCTGCTTGTGGCTGTGCTGAGCTGGACCAGATGCTGGGCTGGCTGAAGGCTGATCATGGAGTGACTTCTGTCAGGTTAGTTTTCAGGTGGTATGCTGTATTGATGATGCTTTTCTAGATTGCTCTGAGCTGCCTGTGGGAGGTTGCACACATACTATTAGTTAACTTCATCTTTGTACCAGCTTCTGTCCTCTATTTAGATGTCCTGGCAGTGTGATCTCTTTATGGTACATGGCAAGGTTGCAATTTATAAATATCTGCTAAGGAAGAGGGAAAAATTGGGACCAGAAGAGAGCAGGAAGACAATGAAATAGTTTTTTTTAGTGGTTTTTGTTGTTGTTGGTTGCCTTTTTTTTTCTTTTTTTTCCCCTCATTTGGAATTTTGTTGGTTAGCTGTCACTGATGTGTAGCAGCTTGGGCTATGATGGTATGCATCATCTGATACAAATGCATTGTTTTGTAAGTTAGGTCTAAAAACCCCAAACCATAAACCCTTAGGAAAATCATGAGATTAAGATCTTGAAATGTAAGGGAATCTTTAGAATTCTTTGAATTGCATGTCTTTGTGTTTTAAACAGACTGGTTTAATATTGGAATGGTAGGGGGTTTTATGGTGGGATATTGGTTTGGTTTTGGGATTTTTTTGACATCAGTCTCTCTTCAACCTAATACATTTAGGGAAAAAAATGCTGGCTCTACAGCACTGCTTTTTTGGCTATCACTTTCACGTCACGTTTTGCCCAGTTTAAGAATGAAAAAGCTGTTAAAATGAAAAGGAAGTCCAAAATTTCTTTTCTCACAGTTAAGCACCTGCAGAAAGCATACCTTTTACCGAAGTGGAGTTGGCTGTAATTTATTTTCTGGATGGTTTTTGTTCTAGCCTTTTTGAAATTCTTGTAACTTTATAATGTAATGCTAGTTACAGGCCATGCAGCAATATGTAATTATTCCTTCCTTGTTTCAAGTATGTTACTTAAATATATGAACAGGGAAAATTGAAACCTAATGAATCAAAAACTTTATACTCATCACACTTTCTGCACTCCTTTTTTTTAAAGGGCAGGGAGAAAATATGCTCTTACTTTTCTAAGTATAATTTTGGTGAAGAGCATGTATGTATTTAAGGCTGCCTCCATTTCACAGAAGTTTGTGTGTGGTGGCCTGGGCTATTCCTGAAATGTTTGAGGAAAATTCTGCCCTGAGTTTTGTACTAAATGCTATGTTTACTAAAGGATTTCTTGATAACATCTAGTTAATAATTGAAACCCCAGTGTTCCTTATTCTGCTAATAGTGTTAGGTAAAAAATTTGAGGTAATGAGGTGGTGGAAGTAGCACAGTGAATTAAATGGAGAGAAACCAAATGCTTAGGGTTCTGGGTTTTTTTGGTTTTTCTTAAGCAGCTTTTGGTGTAGCTGCTGTGTACATAGGGAGAACATAAGTTTCTTCATGTGCATTTTTCTCATGGAGCTTTAGGTATGCCGTGTATAGTCTAATTGTTTAATTAGAAGCTCTCTGTTCTGTGGCACTTCCCACCCTCCTGAATATGTACTTACCTGAAAATTTCTGTAGCGTTTTTCTGGTATAAAACGAAGCTAGAATTCTAACTATCAAATTTCTTTTTGTGTTTACAGATGATGATGTACCTGCAGATATGGTTGCAGAAGAATCAGGTCCTGGTGCACAAAATAGTCCATACCAACTTCGCAGAAAAACTCTTCTACCTAAAAGAACAGCTTGTCCTACAAAGAGCAGTATGGAGGTAACTTACTTGGCTTTAATTGTAAAGGAAATCTTACTGTTTCAAGAATATGAAGCTAATCAGTATTTTTCATATGTTCCCTAGTGACTGAATTATTCTTATTTATTTCATTAAAGGGTGCTTCCACTTCAGCTACTGAAAACTTCGGTCACCGAGCAAAACGTGCTAGAGTGTCTGGAAAATCCCAGGATTTATCAGGTAATAACTCTTGTACAAAAAAGGGAACGAGAGAGAAGGGGTGGAGACATTGTGATTTCACGCACACACCTGCACACATCATCCCCAAACTTATTTTTCCTGTGTGTTCTCCAATGAAGAAAGAGTAGTGGGGAAAAAAAAAAAAGCTATAAGCTTGTTCTGAACTTCAAATTTGGAAGCATGATTTTAATCAGAATTTTTTTAATCTGGTTCTTTAGTCTGTCTGCTTCACTGCAGGCATGCTCTGGTTGTTTTTTATTCTCCTCACAGTGCTGTGTACTTGTATCTAAGCTACTGTTAGAAGCAGCAATGCTGCAATGTTGCCTTATTTACCATTTCTCATATTGATGGTATTGTTCCTGTGTACTGCTTAGAGGTGGTTTTGGTATGGCATAACACTTCATTGTGGAGAGAGGGGGAGAGTCTTTGTGTTTGTAAGTTAAAATGTACGTATACCTACATACATAAATGTACATATATTTTTGCACACATCTGCAAGATCTGCGTACATTGTGTAATAAACACGTGCAGTACATGTGTATATAATTATATTGCATATGCACACAAATTAAATACACACACAGTATTAGATATACACATATGTTGGCATACATACCCTACTTGTTCTTTTTTCTATGTCGTTTTTCAATCTCTCTGCTTCTATTCCTTTTTGTCTCCTGTCACACTCTTTAGTTCCAGGAGATCTGCTGTCACTTTTCCCTGAAAAATCAACACCAACGCTTGCCAACTCCCATTGATGTGGTTTCTGTTGCTTTTCTTGGGTTTTGTTTTTTTTCCAGCCCATGTCTCTCTTAGTATTGTGAATTAAAACTGAGCAGCTGGCACACGGCTTTGGGCTGTTTTCATTGCTTCTGTCGAGGTCTGCTCTTTCTGGCTTCTCATCTTCTCCATAGTGTAGATTTCATCTTTCGAGTCCTGTCTCATTTCCCTCTGTTTTATTCTCCCCCTGTTTAACTCTTAATTTCAGCAGCTGTTTAAGAACAGTTTAACTTCAGATTCATATCCATGAAATAGCCAGAACCAATTGGACATGAACCTGTGTCATTCTGCTTCGATTAATTTCCTGATTTGCTGTCCAAAGCCTTGTGCAAAGTTATCTTGTCACAGGCTCTATTTTTCTCGACAGTTCTTAGTTTCTGTTCCATGTCATCTACTTTTTTTGTTGCGGTGTTCATTGTACGTTCACTTGCCACCTTGCTTTAATGAAGGTATGTAGCTTTACTCAAGTTCTGTGGTACAATTCATGACATGAATGACACTTATTTCCAAAGGAATTCTCTACACTGTCACTGTGCATTCCATTTGTTACATTTTTGAGCTCATGTGGGGAAAGTACTAGGACTGTGGAGGCTTCTCCAGCATGGAATTAACAGAGGAATTGTAAACAATGATTTTACCATTGTACTTTTAAGATTGCATTCAAACGAGTCACAATTTAACAAGGGAGTGTCCTCCTCAGCCCGTTTTCTATTTATCTCTTTCC